ATAGCTGTTGTTTGTTTTCTTCATATGTAGACAAATATTGTGGCTTTGCCACAGGCCGAATTCAGCGGTGGCAAGCTCTCAGTGGGGCGGCCTTCTTGCCCCGCGGACATGTTCCTTGACTGTGGGTCTTGGGCTCGATCGATCAGGAATATGAATCGATCGCCCTAGGGAAAATCCAACGGCGTCACCGGGATTGGCCCATTGCCAAGTACTGTTGCCATGGTAGCTAGCTTCGGGGTAGAAAGCATCGTGGCAGACAGCTTCTGGGAAGGAGATACCATGGTAGGACCTATACTCCAACACCTTCATCCTCGACGCCATTGCCGACGACCGACGACCGCGGCTTGAGGCTTGAGGTACGAAGAGAAGCTAGCTTACTGGGATCAATGAATCTCCCCACAGAAGCTCCTAAAACCCAAAGTGAGATACCCACTGACTAAATGAAAGGTGCCTGATTCAATGGTGATACTCTTGTTGCCTCGAACCTCTTCGTTCGTCTCGCCGTGTTCCTTGAGTTACTCCAATCGGTGGGGTGATCGCTCCGTACGGAAGGAAAATCGTGATTTCACGATTTTCAATGACTCGACGGTGTAAAACCTTTAAAATGTGAGCGCAAACAGGTTACGTGATGTGTGCCTGCTTTCGGTACGGGGAACGTTGTCCTTTAAGTCTTCGTCACTCCTGGAACTCAGAGGACGCAACGTACTGACTCAGTGCCGTCGTAATAAGTACCGAAACTGCGCGGGGGTGCTGATTGGCTGAGCTGCTTTCCAGAGAGAACGACAACAACGTTCCAACACGTTCCGTGGAATCGCTGAAACAGTACAGGACGGAAACTCGTGACAGTCAAAACGTCAAAACCTGCACAGACGAATGGAAAGAGATAAGCCACGGGGACTTCCAATAAATCACGTAATTCGTTGAATAGGTTGCAAGCAATAAGCCCGGATCTCAAAGGGATATCGCGGTGTTTCTCCTGATAAACAGCCAATTTCCTCGAGAGGTAAATGACTTGCGCGATTTCCAAGATAGGTGCGAAAACGTTCAGTCTCGAGTTCTCTTGGAGACTGCAGGTGTCCGTTCACGGGACCAGTGCTTCTTCTTTCGAGTGAATTGACCGCTTTTGCTTCTAGCTGCCGTCGTAACTGTCCTCGTCAATGAGGTTGTGGCTTTTGTAGGTCCTTTCAAGGCAATGGTGATAGTGTCGGTCGTGTAGTTGGATTGGTGGGTGGTCAACTCAAAGGTGCCTGACGCTCTGGTGAAGACTAGAGCTGTCAAAATTGACCAGAAGATTGTTGAGTTATGACTTCAAAAGTAGGCTTTGAAATCCACACCAAATGCCAGGAAAATTCAATGATTCCAACTGTAACTGTAGTGTAGCACTGATTGTTGTAGTGTGGAGAGCTCCTTGTCGGCCTGGAGACTCTCCTTCCCTTAAAACTGCCTGAATTCTATGCGACTGTTAATCCAATAAGTTTCTTGAAGGTTCAGTTCCAATACTCAAGTAGTGGACTGGGTCTCGCTGAAACCCTTCCTCAGGGACAGCGGTAGTCAGGCAGTTCAGGGAGCCTTGTCGTGCCTCAGGAGTATTCCAACACCTCCAGTAGGCACCAAACCAAGGACTTGGCCCTGTCAGTCAGACAGGAGGGCCAGCAGAGCTCTCTGCTGGGCCCTTTGGGCCAGCTCTCCTCAGGAGCTGGGGGCCTTCGTTATTCAATCGTGCAGTGGCAGTCTGGGAACAGTACTATCTGCTACCTCCTACTGCTTCTGCCCGGCCTCAACAGGATTGGTATCAACTGCTGCGGTATCAAAGGGGCTACAAGCTAATCAGGATCGGTCTCAATCTTTCGTACTATTTTCTTAACTATGGTAGAAAGGACGATCCTTTCTTGCTGCTTTGCTGGGAGATAAGCCAACTGCGCATGCTGGAGTTGTAGGCCAGCATAGCTGTTGGAGCTATCTCTGACGGGATCCAGAGCTCTCGCTCCTAAAAGTTATCGCCGAGAGCCCAAATAGCTGAGTCGTATACCTTTGATGAATTGCACGGTAGGAAGATTCACGGTGCACACCAAGCGTCAACACTGAAGGAGGATATGCCTCATAGAAGCACGGCTACACTATCCTATAGTCTCACCGCCGTTCACCTCCGCCCCATGAATGAGGGGCAGGTCCCTACAGCTCTACTTACAATGGGAGTGTGCATCCTCCCGTCGTGACCTGGAGCACGGTGGCCTATCAAGGATTTAACCTATTAGAAAGGCAGTGACGCAGAGGTGAAGAGGAGGATTGATTCAAAGGAATCTATTCAAAGAGGCCAATGCTCTGGGGCACTGGCAATCAGGGTATGGATCAAAGCTGTTGGGTGGAGGTGGCCACTGGATCAAAGGCTGGGTCCCAATCCAGTACAGCTACCACAACTGCAAAAAGAAGGGATCAAAGCCAAAGGCTGATAGAGGATTCTCAACAGAGATATGGAGAAATCACTCTATAGCCAGTAGAGACAGTGGTTGGTGTTATCAAGGTGTGTTGTTGGAGGTTTCAATAGGAGAGGCAGATAGGAGCAGAGAGGTGGCTGATTCAATAAGGGGGGGTGTTGCACAATCTAGCTGCGAGGCTAGAGGGGAACCATCGCCTGTGCTCATTACTGAAGTAAACATTAAAGTAGAAAGGACAAAGCTTGTCTTTTCCAAATATAGGGAACTGAGTTTGGGTAGTAGGACTATGTTGGGTTGCCTTTGATGGTGCTTCTTTATAATACCTATATCTCGGGCACACAACAGTAAGGTAGGCTCTTCGTCTGTTATAGCCTCTGTTTTTAACATTAAAGCCTGCTTCTTTGCATGCAAGTGCAAATACAGACATCAGTTCCTCTTTGATAAACTTTTTGTCATTTTTGTTGAATTGCTTGGCAGCCAATTGCACTACGCTAAAAGCTAGTGTAAAGATCTTTCGATGTTTTGTAGTTTGAGAGAATGAAAGTATTTGAGAGAGATTAGAAAGCTATGAAAACTAATCCATGAGAGAGATCGTTGTAACTCATTGAGTTGGTCTCCCGCGGGAGCCTTGAAGTGTGATATCGAGGTTATGGCAATAACTCTACGTACTCCACAGTCCATTTCCGGAACACGTGGAAACTTCAGCTAGTAGCTGTCTGTAGCGTGGAAGCTTTCCACGCCGGCTAAATATCTAGACGATGTTTCATCACAACTAGTATGACTAGCAGTTATGAGAACCCTGTCTCAATGACTATTCACGAAGGACTACGTCATGAGTCGAACTCAAACCCTATCTAGGATCGAGTCGCGAATAAGGCTAAGAGCGTGTATTGCATTCGCCCCCTGACAAGGGTCACAGAAGGCACGACATCAGTCGGACAAGGAGAACATATGAATTAAAGTGTGGGGCACTCTCCGGAGATTGGATGTAGACATGTGCGTCGCACGATGGCAATCCTACAAGGGGATCAGGCCTTGTATGGGTGTAAATACCTTATGTTCCAAGTCTGGTAGACTTGTGCCGCCATTGGCGGTAGCATGTCGGAGCCGTACAGTGCCATTGTTATTGACTCGGTCCATATTGTAAGGACCTTTGTACTTTGGCTGACCGTACTTGCGGTGCTGATACTGTTGAACCTCACAGTATCGTTGACATTGTATTGATGAGGGACACGCGTCGCGTTTTCCTTATCAGTGTTTCTGGATGAGTCGTTGGCGACGTTCTTTGATGTGTTTCCAGTTTACTTCAAACGGACGTTGTGAATCGCGTCACGATTGAACACATGTGGTAATGAACTTGCGACGAAGTCCATATTCATCCCGGAGAGTCTTCTCGACTTCTGTGCGGAACTCACGTCGCTATCCATGATAACCTCAGCAGGCGCATGGATACTGGTGAGCCACGTCTGTTCTAGAACGATGGCTGCTTCGTCTGGCATTGGAGCAGATCTCGGCATCTCGAACCATTCGTTACGGGATCAATCATTGTCAAGCAATGAAAAGGACAGGGATTCCTTTTCTTGGGATCCCCGAGTTGTATGTACATGTGATCGTCTGATCCATGTCTCGATAGTAGTTCACTAGTCCAATGAATCTACCAAGTTTTTCCTGTTCGTAGGAGGAGCGATGTTCTGGATCGCATCTATTTTCTTGGTTACGGGTTGGATTCCTTCTCAGTAATCCAGTGGCTTAGATATCAAGTTCTCTTCTTTCGAAGAAGGACTTGGTAGCATTGATCTTAAGTCCGGCTTCTCGAAGCCTTTAGGAGAACTTCATCTAACTATTCAACGTGATCTACTAGATCGCCGTTAGTTAGGATGAGTTGATCATCAATGTATGCACGGACATTTTCCAAGTCGTGCATGAGTGTTCCCATCTTCCTTTGGAAGATGTCGGGACTATTGCATAGGCCCATCGGTACTCGTTGGTATTCGTATTTCCTGAATCCGTCTAGATTCAGTAGCATGTCTTGTATCCTTGGGATCGGACAAGGTTTTTGCTCAATCCTTTTGTTCAGTTCCCGGACGTCAGAGATGAACCGTGTAGATCCATTCTTTTTGGGAATGATAAATGTTGGTGCCGTCCACTCGGAACGGTTTACCTTCTTAAGTGCTCCTGCGTCGCAGAGACGTTCGACCTCTGTCTTAAGAGTGTTGGTATGGACACGTGGAGTAGGGTAAGCCCTAGTGCCTTGTAAGGGGCTGCCTCCGAGGATCCGCGAATACATCGGATATCCGTGCTTACTTTGAGGCTGTCTAGCATGGTAACTCTGGCTAATATTGAGGCTATGGCTATTATACCTTTTGATCTTTATAGTTAGGAGAGTAAGAAACAACCATCCCTTTGGGTATAAGCGCCATGGTTGTTGTGTAGTAGTCGCTCACATTTTGCGGATTGAGTCAAATCCGAGGTGAGGATATTCCATCCGTGGATTGGCGATCCTATAGTAAAACAGTACAAAACTGCCTCCGTGCCGCGGATAATGCCATCTTGCTGTTGTTGCTCCTACAAATGGAAGCTGTTGTTGTTGTTCGACACGCTGTTGACAGCATTGGAAGCCTTTGCAATGCAAGCTTCGAACGCTGTGCTCACTCGTTTGGCATCCTGGCTCTTGTTCTTGTTGCTATGGATGAGAGTAACCTGAAGGGCGTTGACACCGGAGACGTTTGGTCCAAACCTGAGAAAGGTTGAACGACCACGAACTGAGGTGGTGTTAGAGCTCTTTACCTTCCTAAAGAGTGGCTCCCACTGCACACTTTCAGGCAGATAAACTGCTCCTTGGAAGCGATTACCAGGTCCCCTGATACCGTCAGGTCCATCAATCACCTCATGGCCATCAATCAGCACACGAAACAGCGTACTGTTACCAAACTGTTCAAGAGTCAAGGATCCTTGCACACGCCGGTCATAACCCATGGTAGATGTAATTCTGATAACCATGGTGATATCATCAGATTGATCACTGCTGAAGGAAAAAAGAGTGCGCCAAGCAACACTACGAGCAATCATTCGACCACAGAGAGAGTGAAGGCTACTAACAAGAAAAAGAAAGAATGAGCGAAGACGATACACAGTCCCAAGTCCACCAATGTACATCCGCTGGCACACAGCAAGAAAGGAGTGGATGGCTTGGATGGAAGACAACATAATTGCTATTTAAAAAGGGTGACGGCCAAAGTGTGAGCAACGACAGGACAACAGTAAGTGCCAAGATCACAGCCGCAAACCAAACCAGAAGCATTCAAACAAGACCAATCAATCGGAGGCGGGCTGAATCATTGGAACTTACCTTGGACTATCTCTTAACCAAAGAAGCAGTCTCGTTCCGTGTGCCGAGAGTGCGCGGCTTCTCCTCAAAACCGAGGGGGAAATATTGGAGTCGCCGCTCGAGCTCAATCTTGTTGTCACTCACTTGTGCTCACAACTCATCCAATCCTGGACTTTCAACCGCCACAACCAATCAATACAAGTAGTAAGTAAGTGAGTCAATATGTTCGGTCGCTACTCCCTTGATCAGTTCTCCTTTATGGCCGATGCCACCAACAAGGATACCGGTAAGAAACTCACCTTCACCATCAACGGAGACATGACGAGCTTCACCGTTTGCTTCCAAGATCACGAGGAAGAGGAGGCAGTGGAGGCCACCCAAGTTGTTCCATCCGTTGCTGTTGCCGAGCCTCTCCCTTCCACGGTCGCTTCCACGACGGCTGCTGCGGACTTTTTGGAGTCGGAAGAATCAGAATATTCAGAGGAAGAAGACGATGAGTTTGATGCCGGCGTCATGGAACAGGAAGTGGACTTTCTTACAGACGGCTTGAACGCTAGTGTCAACATCCTAGATACCACCGATTCCAGTTCTGATTATGATGAAGTTGGCGGATTTTCACAAGAGCAGTTCTTCGCTCCTATCAAGTCGAAGACTACCAAGAAGCCCAACAACAAGAAGCCCGCTGCCATCAAGAGTCTCCCTCCCCGCAAGCAGCCCTCCCGTCGTGGCAAGAAATAGGTATCTGTAGGTCTGACTCCACCATTGACTTGCATTCTTGCGATCGATTGTGGTGTGGTGGCTGAAGTGTACAGTTGGCCGAACGGATCGCGTTGTGTGTGGTGTGTGGTTGAAGCTGGTCGAACAGAATCGATCGCGGTCGAACAGATCAGTTGGAGGGAGATGCCCGCTGCACTTATAACGCCTTCAAACGTAATTTCCGAAAATAGTATAGAAAAGCAGTAGCGCAAAAAATGTCTTAGATGACGTGTCGCGTCTGGGGAGCTTTCCCTCCATCATTCCCACAAGAGAAAAGACGGATTGATTTTTCAATACCCCATACACAAAGCTCTCTTTGCTAGTTGGAAAGCACGTCCGATCATCAGTGCTATTGATAGCTGAATAAAAACATATCTACGCTTACTCGTTGGCTACTCTTGGAGTGGCTGATCGATTGACTCGGATTGGACGATCGAACACTTTCATTCCAGAGCTGAAAAGCAATCGACACCACCATGACGAAGAAGACGGGCAGAAAGCGCCTTGCAAGGGATAGTCAGGTCTTCACAAGGAAGGATGCACTCCCTGCCATCATACGGGAGGCTCTGGGGAAGGGACAATGGAGAGCGGAGCTTGTTGATAAGAAAGGCCGACCAAAGAACATGTTTCTTGACGTGTCATCTCAAATGCTCCGACACCCACTCGAAGGCGAATTTCCGACAGAGAACCAGCCAGATAATGATGCAGAAACCAAGAGCAATGAGAGTGACAGTCAAAAGGAACAATCCGAGGACGAACAGGAAGTCCGAGACTTGGACAACGAGCCGCTCAACGAGTCTGTCGAGGTTGTTGTTGCCACCGCCGAAGAAACCAAGGCAGATGATGACGGCCGGAGCAATGATCAGAATGCCACAGTAGTAGTAGAGACTTCAAGTGACGATGAGGAAGAGGAGGATCGAAATCCCGACGATGAGCTGGAAGAGGATATTCCAGTCTTCGCTGGCCAGGATAAAGACGAAGCCGTCCGAGTAGCCGGTGAGCAGGTTGCTTTCAATGCCAAGGATTTTGCAGCAGCAAGAGGAATTGAGATTGATGATGACAAGCACCAAAAAAAGTGGAACGCATACATTACCGAGAAGAATATCTTGATCAATGATGGCTGGACTGTCGAATGCAAGCCACCAAGCAAGCAGTCGATTCAGCTGGGCGAGCGAGTCAAGGAAAGGAGTGGCCGCAAGCGTGTTGGCATTGTTGTCGAAGATAATAGGGAGGAAGACGACGCTGGACCATTCTGGGCAGTTCAATTCCAGGATGAAACTGAACCTGAGAAGCGCGTCTCATCCAAGAGGCTTCAGCTGGTAAAGGACAAACGCATTGTGACTTGGAAAGCAGTCGAGGAGTCCACACCGAAGTATCCAGTTGAGCAAGCACGCAATGCTGGTGTTGCTGGGTTCAAGTTTCAAGAAGCATTCATGGACAACGCCGATCCAGACGATGCGACGTACAGCTACCCATTCCTCAGTTTGTTAATTCATCTGTGGCCTGGAGATTGGCGTGCACATCTGCAGAACCTAAACAACGCCATCGGAGAGTCCAACCGACAGATTCTTGCGAATCCCAATATCCGAAATGCGAAGAAGAAGACGATGAGCTTGGTCACGGAGAGAGAATGGTGGATTGTTTTCGGTGTCATCTTTGTCGCTTGCCCTTGCCACAAGGGAGGAGAGAAGCTGTTCGAAAAGGAGCGACAGAAAGGTCGACTTGCACCAGTCATCGACGTCAGTATCGATCAGACCATGTTCGATGAGACAACAGGCCAAGCTGGCAAGAAAGTCATGTCTTTCGATCGATTCAAGAAGGTCAAAGAGCGGCTTCATTTGGCCTTTGATGATGGTACCAACTCCGATGATCCATGGCATCCGATTGCTCAGTTGGTCGAAGATTTCAATGATAATCGAAGGCGTTGGGTTGTCGGCCAGTTCGAAAGAGTTCTCGATGAGCTAATGAGCCCCTTCCGTCCTCGATCGACAAAGTCCTCAGGCCGCTCTCTACCCAAGCGACTAAAGTAGCGACTAAGCCATATTTCGTAGTTTAGTCGATAGTTTAGTCTCTGAGGGTGGTGTCTACCCAAGCGACTAAACGTCCCACGGACTAAAGGCTTTAGTCATTATGTTGCTCACCGACTAACGACGTTGTTAGTCGGTGAGCGATAAGGACTAAAGCTTTTTATGAACTCTTTAAGAATCAATCTTCAATCAGCCTCATTGCACAGCTCAACAAAGAGGCATCTACTTGCACAACAAGCCAAGCTGTAACTCAACCTTTTTGTCACTGTCTTTATAGCCACTATGTAGCCTCTTTGCACCTCTGTGGTGGGCACCTTGTGGTAGCTAGGCCGTTATTATTATGTCGTCCTCATCGGATTCCACTCTTCCAGGGAGGCCTTGGACTCGTCATGGGAATGGCAGATACCGCTGTAATGTTGGCACGGATGATTACGATGGCACACAACAGCCCATGGTTGACAACCGTCTTTTGCCAAGGAAACTCGGAAGCAATACAACCATGCCAGAGCTTTCCAGTTGTATTCTAGACGACTATCTTGGACGGTCCCTACATTTGATTTCAAGAATTTGAGGATATCTACCCATCAGCCGTCCTCGTTACCAGAGATTGAGAGAAGATTTCATGAATTCGGGTCATGAGTTCTACAGTGGGTCCACTGATGCTTTCGACCGGAAGTATCATGTTTGGACGCACGTCTATTGATGCCGTTGAAATGTTTGGCATACGGTTTCCCGCTCAACCATTCCTGACTATTTCCAATGTCCAGACCTTCGCAAGGATTGCCGCAGTAACTTTGATGACATCTGGCTCATTTGTATCAAGACGAGTATCTTGGTTTGCCGACTGCCACTGATTTACGAAATATTTCAATCTTCACTTGGCGGCCCACGGTGTTCCTTGAATGCTTGGAAGTCTTGCTGTATGCACAATCGATGGAAGACAGTGCCCAATCGAATGGCAGGAGCATTCCAAGGAGCCAAAAAGGTCCCTACCCTGGTTCTGGAGGCAATGTGCGATTACAATTTATTTTTCTGGCATGCTTCGTTCGCTATGCCGGAACACTCAATGACATAACAATTTTCGACATGTCGCTCTGCTGGAAAACATGATCAGCGGAAGCTTACCGATCTCGAGACTATTGGTGGCGTCGTCCTTTTGACATTGGCGATGAAGAATTTCCACAGATGTTTATTTTGGTTGACGGTATATACCCAAAATACTCCCGTTTTGTCAAACTTTATCCGAGCCAATTTTGGATTGGGAGAAACAATATTCCGCTTGGCAGGAGGCGGCTAGGAAGGACATCGAGCGGGCATACGGTGTGATTCAGGCCAAATTCCAAATTTATGGCTCGTCCATTCCTGGATTTGGAATTGCGCAAAATCGGAAACCGTGTAAACACCTGCCTCATTCTCCAAACATGTTTGTTGTGGATCGGGTGATGGGAGATGTGAGGGCCAAGTACGATCCAAGTGTCACTACAGTTGATCGAGAAATTGTCATCGATGTGCCGCTGACAGGCAAACCGTCCAAAAACTAGTAGAGGAGCCACCCGAATTGGTTGGAGGAAAACCAAGAGTGTTCGAGATACTATGTTCGTAGGCAACAGTGGAATTCGCTGATGGATATCAAAGAGCATGAGCGTCTACATGTGGCTTAGTAGAATTTAAAACTGGAAACAAACTATAGTAATTGAATTAAACTCGGTATAGTTTTTTGGTGGCTCATGTTCCACTTTGTCATCCTGTCGATATTTGGTGTTGTCATCCTGTGATATACGGTGGCGGCATTAGGCAAGTCGGAATTGTCATCGCCACTCCTTTTCCACTTACTTCTCCATTGGCGACAGCGGCAGTAGCAGCCGCGGCAGTGGCAGTAGTAGCCATGTGATCTGTCATGGAGGAATCAGGGCTGCAGATTTCTTGCTCTCTTCAACTACGGTGGGAGGAGTAGGCGCTTGTTTTTTGCGCCTGTTGCTGTTGTCGCCCATCCCGCAATTGATTCTGCGCTCCTGGAATGCTTGTTCGTCAGCTGTGGTTTCTTCCAACAAATTTTCGGCCTCCGTCATCTTGCCAAATTTCATCAAAGCTCCACCCGTTTCATCTTGGACTTCTGGATTCCACGGTGGACTACTCCTCGGAGAGCATCTGCTGGGAAAAGGCATGGACTCCAAATGTTGATTGCGTTCTGGTTGCTCGAAGCACCGAGTTGGAAAGAGCCAGGTTGAATTTTGTCGTTTTTTGCCAGTGGGTCGGGTATGCAAAGAACCCATTGGTCACGAGTATTGTTGGCTTTCGGCTTGCTTTCGTCAACACCGATTGGTCAGCATTCAACTCATCCTTCTGCGATCAGCTTCTGTCTCGGTGATATGGGGATCAAAGACGGGCCACTCGGTCAAGTGGGGAATGCAATTGCGATGATTGAAAGCTTCAAAATTCGTACCACGCTTGCGCTTGGACTTGCCGTCGTCATCAGCACAGCGGTGGTCTTCTTGACTTTCTTATATTGTTGTTGCCGGCTTTGCCCCTTTGCCGCCTTTGCCGCCTTTGCCGCCTTTGCCGCTTTGCCGCTTTGCCGCCTTTGCCGCTTTGCCAGAACGAGGTCTCTTCCTGGCGGTGGCAGCCTTGTGGTAACCTTGGTCTTCTGCCGAGGAGATCTCCTCAATGTTCACTGATTTTATCAATAAGTCTGCTGTTTAAGGTCTACAGTGCGATACTGTCCTCATCATCATCATCATAGAGTCTTCCTCTTGTTCTTCCTCTCCGTCTTTCAGCGTACCTCCTCTTCATCTTCTTCTCGCCAAAAAGGACTCCTCGTCTCTTCACTAGCCTTCTTCTTGGTGTTGGCCATGGTCTATCAGTGCAGTAACAATAACAATAAAGAACAAGAGAACAAGAGGCTAGCTAGCGAAATGAACAAGCTAGCGAAATTATGATGAGTTTCGCTAGCTGAAC